GAGCTCCCAGCACAGAGCCAAGCGGGACCCGCCGCGTCACCAGCTCACCGGGACCGGCACTTCTGGCACATCTCGCAGGGGTGGTCCGGGGAGCAGAAGGTGCCGTTCCTGCAGACGCACTGCGTGTTGCGGTCGGCCTGGCAGCGCCTCAGCTCCACCTGGTCTGCGGGCAAGAGGAGAGATGGCTCCAACCCCGGCCCCTCCACCCGCTTCCCTCGTTAACACGGCTAACGACCCGAGCTAACCCGCAAGCTTGGGGAAGACCAAGTCACTCTCTGCTGTCGAGTTTCAGCCTTACCCTTTCCTGCCCCAAACCTCACCGTGCCCAAGAGAATCAAAGAATCATAGAATGGTTAGGGCTGGAAGGGACCTTCAAAGGTCATCTAGTCCAACCCCCCTGCAAGGAACAGGGATATCTCCGACTAGATCAGGTTGCTCAGGGCCTCGTCCAGCCTGGCCTTGAACGTCTCCAGGGATGGAGCATCCACCACCTCTCTGGGCAACGCTCACATCGCAGCTCCACCAGCAGCCTACGGCGCTGCCGTGAGCCCAGTCCTCCCGGTCCTCCCTGGGCAGAGGTCTTGTGGCCAAGCTTTGCACAAGGAATGCTGCATCCTGGCACAAGCAGCTACACCAATTTCCAGACCCAGCGCTCTCCCCGCAGCCCGAGCCGCTCTTCAGGGACGCTGCGGGTGACCGCGCTCTCAAACGGAGAGGTCTCCAGTGAGCGGAACCCAGCCCGTGGTACCAGTTGGCATCGCCCTCTTACACACCAGCTCATACCTTCCCTGCACACCTGGCAGCCCAGGCACTTGTGAAAGTCATTCGGGTATTCGACGTATTCATCTCCCCTACACGGCGAACACGTGCTGGAGCCGTTTTGCTCTTCACAGTGTTTTTCAACGTAGGTGCCTGCGGGAAGGGGTGGAGGAGAAAAAAAACGGCGTTATCCGTGAGCGTACAGCGCCGGGCAGAGACATCGCTGCAGAAGGGGAGTTGATTCTGCTGCCAGTGCAGATAAGGGGCAAATTTGGAGCGATCAAAAGGAAAACGTTCCCATACTGAGTCCTTAGATCTTGCAGGGTGAGAGGCGGCGCGCTCGCTGCCTGGGCTGCGGGCAAGGTTTGAGACCATCTTACCCGCAGGGCACTTCTTGCAATAGCGACCGCTGTCTTGGTCTTGGTAAAACTCTTCCCCTCCCCTGCTTGGGTCCAAGAGATCCAACCCGTCCTTCCTGACCACTGCTGCTGCAGCAGTTCCCAAAGCAAGCACCTGCCAAAAAAATACAGGAAAACCTGGGTTAGGAACCCCCCTGAGTTCACAGGGCAAGGGAAGGAAGAGAAGGGCAAGAGCTGCTGTGCCCAGCACACCTGGGCAAAGCGGGAGAGGAGCTCTGGGATGGCTCAGAGCTGCTGGACCTGGTGGCCAAACCTCCCCTTGATGCACTTTCCCCATACCAGATTGGTTGCTTCCTTGGCAAAGCATAAGGAGGAGGTTTGCAGAGGGATACCTCTGCGCCAGGTTATCAGCAGGGCAAAGGCTCGCCAACACTTCCGTAGGGTAACATCAGGCCCCCTTTCCTTCCCCAATTTCTGAGCACGTGAACCAACAGCACCGAAGAGAATGGAAGAGCAGGGAAGAGGAACAGAGAGGGCGTTTGTGGGGAGGAAACCGCCCCCGTGTCAAGGCTGGTACGTGGCTCCGGTGCCCACAAGAAACGCCCGGGCTGCGCCAGGCTCCCAGAGGACAGCACGGCCTCCAGCGTTTCCGCGTTATCCTTGTTATCTCGCTGCGGATCAGGAAGCCAATGGACCTGTTTCCGCCAGCTCGCGTGCACCTTTCTGCTGGCTCAGCTCTTTCTGGGTCACTCCAGCTGCAGCGGGGGAACGATGCTCAACAGGGACAGTCGCTCGCCCCAGCAGGGTTTGGGGGGCCGCTGGGCACCCCACGCAGGACAGTGCCCTCAGCTTCTCACCCAGCTCAGGGGCAAGCTGCTCCACGGACAGCTATGGGTATGGACCTGCCCCTACCTCCAGCCTCTGCCCCTCTACCCTGGGCTACAGAGAGGGCCAATGCCCGGCCGTGCCCAGCACTGGCACTTTTCCCCTTTCTCTCCCATACCCTGGGCACAAAACCTGCCTCTTAAAGCAAATATTTCTTCTGTGAGTCAGAAGCTGCCTTGAAAGGCTGAAACAATGGAGAGACTCGAGCTGTCCCTTGGGCCAGCCTGGCCATCTATGGAGCTGATCCCCTCCGTGACATTTCCCGTGCTTGTACAGGAAAGGGTGTGAGTGCCAAACCAGCTGCAGCGGGTCTGATGGTCACAGGGCTGCAGAGGGTGATACAGACCCACAAACAACACTGTTGAGATGGGCCCGGCCATGGAGAGGGTGATATTCCACCCCCCCCAACCCCTAGCACGCAGCTTTGCCGGGACAGACACACGGCCACAGAGAGGCACAGACCCCCCCACATCCCGGCCAGCCTGAGAGAGAACAGGACCATTTCCAGACCCTGACTTGAAGGACTCAAATCCATATCCCTCCAACAGCTTCTGGCTCCACATCTCCCACTGCTGCTTTCTCCAGTCGGGAGGGTTTGGCAGTTTATAAAGTGCTTTTCTGTCCAGCTTAGAAAAGTCTTGTTTTTACCTCCCAGCCACCAGCAGCTCTCAGGGCTTCACTCAGTCTGGTCTTGAAAGCCTTCAGGGACTGAGACTGGGTGACCTGTCCCACCGCCTCACTGTCCTGTGGGGGACTAAAAAAACCCAACAGTCTTTCTTCCCCATTCAAACTCTGCCAGGCTGGGAAGGCGACCACAGCAACAACACAGCGTTATCTGCTGTTTGGAAAGGCCCCTTAGGCGCAGGATTTTGTTGCTTTTCATGGAACAGCCGCTCGGCAGAGCTTGCCCAAGTGCACGGGGAGGTTATCAGCCCACACCACCTTCTCCAGCAAGTGCAGTTCAAGTGCATCATCCCACAGCACTGCCCGGGGCAGGCGAGGGCTGCCATCCCTGACTAACCTACCAGTCTTGCAAAGCACGGGGAGAAACCTGGCTGGGAGCCAAGTGCACGGGGAGGTTATCAGCCCACACCACCTTCTCCAGCAAGTGCAGTTCAAGTGCATCATCCCACAGCACTGCCCGGGGCAGGCGAGGGCTGCCATCCCTGACTAACCTACCAGTCTTGCAAAGCACGGGGAGAAACCTGGCTGGGAGCCATGGGCGAGACGTAATGGTATTCAAGAGTTGTTTTCACCCACAGTAAACATCCCAAGAAAGCAACCTTGCCTGGAGGCAGAGGAATTACCAGGCACAGGAATCCCCAATATCCTCATCAGCTAAAAACCTCTTCCTTCTGGATGATCAGGTCTGGGAAAGAAGTTCTAGGAAGCATTAAGCTTTGAACTTTCCCCTCTTCCATCTCTAATTTGGTTTTCTGATGAAGCGACCCCAAGGAAGGGGTTGCACACCACAGCAGATCCCCCCTGATGAACTCCTGACCATCGATGAACATCCGCACAGCACTAAGACACAGCCCTTGGCTGTGGCAAGACAGGCTCTGAGCCAACAGTGCTGAGGACCAGGGACAAAAGAGATGCCAGGCAGATGCCCGACATGCCTCTTCTCTGAGGGAACGGGTCTGACAAACATGGGGGGTTTCCCCCACCGAGACTTTCCACGGATGGAATTTGAGCTCCCGCAAACGCAGGGATCCAGCAGCATTCCTCCTCGGGAGCCCGTGGCCCAGGTCCAGGCATGATGCAACACGCATTGGTGAGCAGGGGAAGGAACTGCAGCCACAATATCGTACGATTATCACGTGGGGGCAACATCAGGCCTGATCGGTTCCCCCTCCCCTTTACTTTTATCAAAAAGGTAAAAAAAAGAGGCTGGTAAGAGCGTGTGCCTCGGTGATGGGTTTAGTCAGGCTTGACTTTATCAGGGAAGTTTAAATAAACTCCCATAAACAATATAGGGAAGGAACTGGGTGAGAAGCTGACTCTCTTTTGAAACCTGTTACAGGCAATGCTGATTTCAGTGACGGAAATTCCAGCACGGGAGCAGCAACCACATGTGCCGGGGCTGCGGCTCGGCTGGGCTCCCTCGTGGTGGCAGGACTTAAAGGCCAGGATCCCCGGGACAAAACCCCGGCCAGGATCCCCCGGGACAAAACCCCGGCCAGGATCCTTCTGACTTCAGGTGAGACAAGACTTTAGGTATTTCCGATCTCTACAGCAACGCCCAATCCATGGGGAAAGATGATATGCGCAGGTGGGATTTTCTGTCCTAAAAGCCA